GCTAGGTTGGAGTTGTTCTTTGATACGGTATGTACCTTTCCAGTTTAGGTCTAGAGTGCCTACTTCTGGTCCTTTGGACGACAGAAACATTCTCTAAAGCACCAAGTCATTTATTCGGAAGGACCTTTTCTTGACTTTAGCATTGTAGTATTCAGTCATCTTCCTTTGATATGCAACTAACTTCACTTGGGAGTCATCCTTTTTTTCTTCAAGGAAATCAAGCTCGCACATCCTAAGCTCGTCATTTGATATCTCGCTAAAATGTAGTCTTCATGGGGAGGGTAACCCAACTTCTACAAGGCTCATAGCCTTAGCACCATAGGCTATTAAGAATGGAGTTTCTCTAGTTAGGATCCTGATTGTAGTTCAGATTGCCCACAACACTCGTGGCAGCTCATCAACCCAGTCCCCTTTGGCTGTATCGGGTTTTCTTTTCAAAGTGTGTTTTATAGTTTTGTTCACAGCTTCGACTTGTCCATTTGCCTAAGGATAGTGAGGGGTAGAAAAATGCTTCTTGATCCAAAGTTCTTCACAAAGGTTCCTAACCTTCTTGTTATCAAATTGCTTCTCATTGTCCGATACAATCGAATGGGGAATTCCAAACCGACCTATAATGTTCTTCCATAGAAATTCGGAAGTGTTAGCTTCTGTGATCTTTACCAGGTGTTCAGTTTCAACCTATTTTGTGAAATATTCTATTGCAACAATAGCAAAATTAACACTTCCTTTACCTTTAGGTAGGGGGCGTATGAGATCCACACCCCACTTGGTGAAAGGCCAAGGGCTAGTTACGGTCGTTATCTCTTGAGAATGTTGCCTTTGGATAGGGGAAAAACATTGGCACTTATCGCATCTTCCTACAAATCGAATGGCATATCTTTTCAAGGTGGGCCAATAGTATCCCTACCTTAGTGCTTTCGTGCCACACTAATCCTCCCGAGTGGTTACCGTAAAAGCCTTCATGAATCTCACAAATATATAGTTCACTTTCTCACCTCTAACACATCGAAGGAGAGGAGAAGAGAGAAAAACCCTCGTCTATACAAGACATCGCCTACAAAAACAAAACGAGCATACCTCCTTCTTAGTTCATTTGTCATTAGGGAGGACATGGTCTTTGAAGTAAGGCACTATAGGTTGCATCCAGGTGGGGGTCCCTTTCGCCTACATCACCTCTTCTATAGTGATGGATGACCTTGAAAGGTGCTCAATTGGCACTACCATTAGTAATTCTGAGCCCTTGCTGCTCCCCAACTTTGATAGAGCATCAGCATGGGCATTCTCCATGCATGGAACTTGGGCTAATTTGAACTTTTTGAAGGATCAAAGCAAGTCTATCACTTCCGGAGGTATGCAACCATACCCTTATCTCTGGCTGTGAAGTTGTCGTTCACTTGGCCAACGACGAGTTGGGAGTCAATGTTGACGCACAACTTCTTTACTTACATCTCTCTTGCTAACCTAAGGCTGGCAAGCAGTGTCTCATACTCGGTTGCGTTGTTGGTAGCCTTGAATCCGAATCGTATCGCGATGTTCAATTTATGACTTTCAGGGTTTATTAGGACCATGTCACTCCCGAACCAACGTCTCCAGTCGACCCATCCACGATTAGATTCCATGTGGGGGGGCAAGTTTGGCAGTCCTTTCCATCTCGAGGATATTGGCAAATTCAGCTACAAAATTTACTAGGGTCTGGCCTTTGATAGCCGCTTCGACTTTAAAGAAAACGTCAAACTCGCTTAATTCCACCGCCCATTTCAATAGTCTTCCTGAGGCGTCTAACTTTTGAAGTACTTGTTGAAGCGGGAAATTGGTCAATACATGTATCGTATGAGCTTTGAAATAAGGCTTTAATTTCCTCGATGCAGTGATCAATGCCAGAATTAATTTCTCCGAGTATCGGGGTTTCAGGTGCTAGTAATGTCTTGTTGATATAGTAAACCAGTAGTTGGGTAGTACCTTCTTCTCTGACAAGTACGGCACTAATGGCTTCATTTGAGACGGCCAAATAGAGTTGTAGTACCTCTCCGGGCTTGGGTTTCGAGAGGAGGGAGCCTGTCCTAGGTGTTTCTTCAATAACTGAAAGGCCTCTTCACACTCGATCTATTGGAATTTATTCCCCCTTTTAGGATTTTGAAGAATGGGAGACATTTTTTTGGTAGCCTTCGAGATGAAGCGGCTTAGGGTGGCCACTCGCTCAATTAAACTTTATACCTCCTTTGATTTTTAAAGGAACCTCATCTCAACCAATGTTCGTATCTTCTCGGGATTCACTTCTATGCCCATTTGGTTAACCATATAACCTAAAAACTTGCCCGAAGCAACACTGAAGGTACATTTAAGAAGGTTCAACTTCATCTGATGTTTTCTTAGGATCTGAAAGCTACCATTCAAGTGGGCTATGTGGTCATCTGCTTTCATGCTTTTAACGAGCATGTCATCCACATAGATCTCCATCATCTTGCGAAGGAGGTGGCAAACATCTTGTAGACAAGCTTTTTATAAGTGGCAATAGAGGCCCCTATCCGTGATGAATGAGGTGTTCTTTTCATCAGCATGGTACATGGAAATTTGATTGTTACCGGAATATGCATCCATGAAGCTTAATAATTTATGTCCCGCGGTGGAGTCTACATGTTGATCTATCCTGGGAAGGGATAAACTATTCTTGGGACATGCCTTGTTGAGGTTTGAAAAGTCGATGCACACCTTCCACTTTCTGCTGTGCTTCTTTATTAGAACCGGGTTGGAGATCCATTTCAGGTATTGGGCCTCCCTGATGAAGCCATTCTTAATTAACTTCTGTACCTCTTCCCTTAGGGCCTCATATCATTCCGAGTTAAGGGTTATCCTTTTTTTGTCTATGCAAGGCAGCTTTAGGATCAATTTTCAAGTGTTGTAGCTGACCTTGGGGTCAATGCCTACCATTTCCTCGTGTCTCCAAGAAAAGACATGACAATTTTCACATAGGAAGTTCTTGAGGTTTTCCTTAGTTTTCGACATTAGGCCCCTTTCCACTTATAACAATTTAGAGGGATCCAAGTGGTCCACTGAGAAACTCTCTAGCTCCTCCATTTGAACAATTTGGGACTTAGTTTTAATTATGCGGGCGTCGATCTCATCGAGCGTATGCATTTCCTCGTGAGCGTCTACCATGCCCACGTAAGCCGTTAGCATGTTGGCATCTCTGGGCTCAACTTTTCTGACAGAATTTAAGTAGCATTTCCATGCTCCTCTTTGGTTACCGTTTACCGTTGCCACTCTATGATCGATAGGAAATTTCATACACATGGTGGATGGAGGTGACGGCTACTAGATCTTTTAATGCAGGTCTTCCTATTACTCCATGGTAAGCTGAGCTACTATCAACTATAAAAAATTCCATAAAGCATAGAGTCGACTAGGGTGGCTCTCCTACTTTCACTACAAGTATGATTTTACCCCTTGGAATTACACTATCTCGCATAAAACCATACAGAGGGGTGGCGATGGGGTTGATTCGTGATCCAAAATCATCTTGTCAAAAGTAGTTCCAAAAAGGATGTTAAACGAACTAACATTGTCCACCGCATCCGTTTTAGCCCATTTCGGGCCACTACGGCCCTTACCACAAGGGCATCGCAATGGGGGAAGTGAACTCCTTCTATGTCTTCTTGAGTGAACACAATAGGTGGTATCTGACTTCTCCGGGAGGTGCTGGTTACTATATAACTGGTCAATGAGGGGCCTTTAGCTTTTCTGTCATAATTTTGTTGGGAGTTCCTTTTCTCTTCGCCAACGTAAGAGCCTCCAAAGATTGTGTCAATCTCATGGATGGGGACATTCTCTGCCTGAGTTTGGTGGCCTCTTCATTATCTGTCCTTCGACCTTTCCTCTTCATGTTTCCTCCTCCCCCAGGGAGAAACATCTCGGTGGTGGGGATTTGCCTCATCACGCCTAAGCAGCTAGCTAGTCAAGCCTAGGTGGCAGCCTATTTCTTTGTCGTGAATCATTTTGTTGATCATTTCCCGCCTAAGGTGGTGGGCAATATCTCGGCAGTTTGCCGTGTGTGGGGGCTTTCTCTTGTTCTTTTTCAAGAACATATCATTTTGCCCAAACTATATCTTCAGAAAGCTTTTTCACGGGGTTGCTCGTAATTATAATGTGGTTTCCCATAGATATCGACAATCTATTGACCTCAAAATATGCTGTCAACAGATGCTAGACCCACTCGTGCATGTGCAAGCTAGATCCAACACATAAAAATGGATCAACGGTTATGATCACTCTACAATTGGACGTGTGAGAAGCTCAATGACACGAGACTTTTCCATTCGGGTTTCAGCAAGATATCCGGGATGCAGTTGTATAATAATAACCAATCACAATGAACTAAATTTTAGATTGCAAAATTGGTATCTCAGAATAAAACCAATTGCTCCAAGTATTTAAAGTTGCATTAGTCTTCAATCGTTACATGGTTGAGGTATTTATAGTATTACAAACAGAATGGTGACCATTGGATAGTTACACATAACATCATCTCCTTGATCGAGACATCAAATCCTAGCCATGATATTGACTTTCCTAGATCTGCAAAGCATTTAATACTCTCATATCACATTGATAAGATAGACAAGACACAAATACACTTTTTACAGACGTCACATTAATCACTCAAATAAGATCTCCATAATAAATTCAAGATCTCTGTATGTGGACAGACACTAACTGGAGTTGTTGGGCCTAGGATCTGGGCCTCATCGGCATGTCCACCTCGAATTAATAATGGTCTCGAAAATTACCATCTGGGCCTCGTCTTCTATGACTGGTGGTTCGGCAAGAATGGGTCCACAACTTCACTTGGTCGGCCACGTGGCAAATGCTTAGTAGCAAGTCATAACAGGGTGGATTTCTAAACAACTAAAATCATTCAATTTGTCCACAGATTGAAGAATCCTAAAGGTAGATTAAAGAAAATGCTTCTAGGGGTAGAAAAGACAAGAAAATAAGCCAAAATCATGGCCTCCCAAAAATTCAATTCTTTCACATTCCTTTTTCTTGTTATAATTGCATCTGTTTTAAGCTATGGCGAAGCAGAAACGCAGATCAACAATTTCTGCAAAACTGCACAAGACAAGGACCTCTGCAATACCATGGTCACTGGAGCACCCAACTGGCATGAAGCCATTGGAAATGCTATCAAGGTAACACTATCCCTCTCTCAGGAACTTGATTCAAAGAGCGAATTGATAGCACCAGCATTAGTTAATCTACAACCTGGGAAATGAGAATCCCTTCAAAACACATGCAAAGAGTCTTTCGAGACTATAATTGATATGCTTAAGGAAGGGCAGACTGCTCTTGCAGATGGTGACAATGGCACCTTGAAGACGAAGTTAAGCGCAGCATTAGATACAGAGTGTGCTGATGAACTTTCAATTGCTGGAGCTACTTTCCCACTAGCCAATATGGCTAACGAAGTTGGTAAAAAAGTATCCATCTGCTTGGCGATAACGGCACAAAATTAGACCCTCGTAGATTGATGAATCCTAGTCCCCAAATGCTCTAACTTGTAGGTTGCCTGTAGTTTTAGACTTTGAATTTCGACTTCTTGATAAATTTTATGCTTGTAGCGCCTTTTTTGCGTGCAGAATACTTGAGAGAGATAATCTTATCCAGTAATGGTCATTTATTGACCGTCTTTGTTTTATATGGAATTAATATTGTTTTCATAGAAATATTTGGAGTGTTTGTACATTATCTACAAAACTCGTTCATTACGAATACCGTGAAAGAGAACAAAGGATGGAAAAACTCTTCTGTATGACGTAATTTTATTCCAAAACAAGTTGTCCTAACCAATAACCCATCAAGGACTTTATTACTTTTGTAAACAGATATAATAATAATAATAATAATAATAATAATAATAATAATAATAATAGTGAAAAACATAATTATAAACAAAAATGAAATTAATTTCAAGCATTGCTCCAGCCGTGAGCATCAGTTAAGGCCCAATCAAGCTCTATTTCTTCACTAAACATGTTGCGTAAATCCTTTCTAATTTGAATCCATTACTTTCCACAGAACAGATCTACTTTCAATCAAGGGCTAAAATTACTCTGGGTGTGTTTTGATTGAAAATATTTTCATGGAAAATGGTCCTTTTCCACCCGAATTTCAACCATTGTATTGTAATTTTTTTCCATGAAAAATATTTTTCAACATTTGAAAATATTCATAGTTTTTCTTGTTTTTGTGGAAAACATTTTTTTTGGGAGAGGTAGGATTTGAATAATGTTATTAAAAGTTGCTCACTACCATGGTCATCCTATGTGGCATACGTGTGGCGATTAATAATTTGATACATGAGGTAATAAAAAGTTATCACATTAATACATATCATTAACTATCACATGTATGCCATGTAAGGCGACTACGGTAGTGCTCGACTGCAAATGACATTACTCTTTTGTTTTCCTCAAAACATGGAAAACATTTTCTTTTCTAGGAAACATTTTATTGTTTCTGGAGTATAAATTTCTCCTTTCAAATACTATTGGTACCCCTTAAAGCCTAATCCCAATTTTCAAACTTCCATTATATAAACCATGCCAAAATTTTGTGACTTTCCTGTGTGGGATATGTGTATGACAATTTTTAATAAATCAAATTCTCGACTAACTTATAATTTCTAGTGGATTACTTTGACAACAAATATTTCATTTAATTCTAAATGATTTTCGATAAATAAATATATCATGTTAATCACCTCGCAAAGTAGAATGTCAATATACTTGCTCCTGATAAAATCGAAGTACGGGTCCCACTAAAATTAGGTCTCAAAGTTAACCCATTTCACCAATTAATAAACAATTTCCAACAATCCTCCACGTGAATAAAATATGTTGACATTTTTTCAAACAACGACATTTGATATATTTTTCGAAGTATAAATGAAGAAAACTGTATCTGGATAACTAATCAAAGACTTTGAACTTTCATAGTAAAATCTATTGGATTTACTCGCCAATCAGTAGCAAGATGCTTTAAGCAGTGAGTCGTTCATAGAAACCTAGACAATAGAAGTCACATGATTTCCTTTGATGACAATTGGTTCTCACGTTTGTGCCCATTTTAATTGACCTTGGATATTTCCTGGTTCATGAATGTTTTTTAGAGAATTTATCTTCATATAACACTCTTAGAAGCAGCTCCTTCTCACCCACATAGGTGATCTCTATAAAGAATATTCTACTATATTCCATTTGAACGAATCAAGATATATAAATCATTAAAAGCATAACTTAACTTATTTCATGATGTTAGGCACCGGCTCATCATAAAAATGGGTAGGAGTAAAAAATCTCCCCAATGCGTACTGAGTTTTTCACAATTCGATTGTCCCGTTGAACCTCATGGGATCTCCAGTCAACTACTTTGGGTTGCCACCATGGAAACTCTTGATTATTTTACTGGTTTTAACCCCCATGCCCTTCGATGAATTTTCGACTTATAAAAAATAAACTAATAACATAATTCAAAAAATGAAATTAGTTTCAAGCATTGCTCCAGCCTTGAGCATCAATTAAGGCCCAATCAAGCTACATTTCTTCACCAAACATGTCGCGTAAATCCTTTCTGATTTCAATCTATTACTTTCAATTAAGGGTGCAAAATACTCTGAATCTATCTTCATCACCTTCCATTCCTAAGAGCCTACGGGCTATTTGATCATTTTCATTGTTTGAATTAGGAAGTGACCCGAATTTTATTTGGAAGGTTATTTGGAATCTTATTCGAAGTCTGTTTTCCAAATTCTAGTTGAAATTTTATTTGGAAGTCTAATTAAAAGTTGAAATTTATGTTAGATTTGAAAATGTTAAGATATGGATTAAGGAGAAATTTTTGGTGCTTTTCCACTAGCTTACCACTCGAGCAACACTGTTACAATTCTATCCCGAGAGCGGTGCCCTTTAGTGTTTGAGCAATGGCTCATCCGGCCCGAGCCCCTTTTTGAGTGTAAACACGTTTTGAGCATTTCTTTCCATCTATAACTTTAAATTTAGGGCTTTGGACGTCCCTTATATATATTGAACTCTTCATTATATTTAAAACTACGGTAGAAACATTGTAAACACAATTGTTTTGTATTCTTTCTCTGTATTATAATAAAATCTTTGTCCTCTGCAAATTACATTGTTCTTGTGTTTTTTATATCTTTATTTAATATTGTGTTTATAATCTTGTATTTTCTCCAACAAATCGGTATCAGATTAATCCGATTCTAGTTTTCTTCATAACAAATTTGTATAAGAGAATTGTTGGTATTTGATAGGATGCCCACAACTTGAACTCCGGAGGAGAAACACGGAGGGATCGAAAATCCTTATCTCAAATACATCTTTATCTTTCAAATAAATTCTTCAAAATATTTTGAAAGAAAAGTCATTCATTGCACTATGGTTAAAATTGGAAAAATTATGCATGACGAAGAATCTTACTAACAAATTACATCCGAAGCATTCTCATTGTATGATAGAAGGTACATCTCTTGAGGGTCACCTAATTGCTTTAAAGGAAATCGTTGATTATTTGGAGGCCTTGGAGTTCAAATATGATAAATAAGATTTGGAATTGATTTTATTTTGTTCATTGCATGCTTTATACATGTGTTTTAGATACACGATTTTATATAGTTGTGATACTTTCAAAATCGAATAAGTCTATGATGCTCCATATTCAAGGAGAAGATGAAACATCTTATTGCATCCGAGATTCATATAGATGACCTCATTATTGGTGGTGGCCGTGTAAGGGGCAAGTCAATAACTAACTTCAAAAATTGTAATTATTGCAAGAAAAAGAGGCACTTGATAAACGATTGTTATAAGTTGCAGAATAAAACAAAATTGACTGCAAATCAATAATCATAAACTTCAAGGAAAGTAAGTATTACAAGAAATCCTAATAGTAATAGAGAGCTTCTATTTTTGTCTCACTACAATTCCAAACTTGACGAGATTTGAATTCTTGATACAGCTTGCAGCTTTCATGTGTCTCCCAATCAAGATTTGTTTTTAATATATGAAGAAGTTTCAAAAGGTGTTGTGATGATCGATAATAATACACCTTGTAGATAACCTGTATTGGCCAGGTCGAAATAAAGATGTTTGATGGGATAGTTAAAACACTTGATGTAGTGAAACACGTTCCAGATTTAAATCCTTAAGTACTCTTGATTCAAAAGGGTACGAGTACACTGTTGAAGTTGGAGACTCGAAAGTTAGTAAGGAGATCAAGTTTTGACAAAAAAACATACCATTATTGTGGAACTATTGCTTGAGAAGTAAGTAAGCTGGTCCTTATTGGGTCATAAGGATAATCGGTCTTCTTAGGTCAGGGGCGGCCGGACAGGGGGTTACCCGCGATTGGTAATGGCACAACCAGAAGAGGAGTTGGGATGGCACAACCAGAAGAGGAGTAGGGGAGACAAGGTTACGCGCTGGGTAGTGCAGCGTATCTGTTTCGAGTACAGAGGCGACGAGGAGTGCTAACCCGGCCACCCAACCAGTGCCATTGTATTCAACCCATTTTTTAATCATAAACATCCAAACAAGGTACACCACTGTTGATTAGTTTATTATGGTTTGAACGTGGTTGAAGATGTTGATTCTAGCCAAGATCATTCTTTTGATGCATTCAGTTTTGGTGATTCTGTTTCAGAACTTTTTTCTACCATGTTTGGTGATGTCCAAGCCCAATGCTTGAATGGTTGAAGTTTATTCATTGCAGTGGAATTTCTCTCTAAGTGGAGAATTTTTGAAGTTTGTTCATTGTAGTGAAATTCGTGTCAAAGTGGAGTTTGTTAGGTATTCTATTTGGAACCCTATTCGAAGTCTATTTGATAAATTCTAGTTGAAATTCTATTTGGAAGCTCAATTGAGAATTAGAATTTGTGTTGGACTTGAAGATGTCAAGATATGGACCAATGAGAAATTTTCAGCGCTTTTCTGCTAGCCTACTGTTCGAGCAACGTCATCGCAATTCTGTCCCGAGAGCTAGTACCCGCCTAGAGCTCGAGCTGCTTTCATCCGTCCTAGGTCCGTTTTCGCATTTTGAGCATTTATTTCCATCTATAACTCTACTTTTAGGGCTTCGGGCGTTTCCTATATATATTGAGCTCTTCATGGATTTTAGATTAAGTTAGAAACATGATAAATACAAAATATTTGTATTTTTTCTCCATATTATAATAAAATTTTCAATCTCTGCAAATTACATTGTTATTATGTTTTTTAGATCTTTATTTCATATTGTGTCTATAATCTCGTATTTTCTTAAACAAATTGGTATTAGCTTAATCCAGTCAGTTTTCTTCATACCATTCATAATTAGGTTGGTATTAGATTAATCCGGTTCCAGTTTTCTTCGTAACATTCATAATTAGGTTTTCCGTAGGACTTTTGTACTTAAACAAGAGTTAAGGCTTCATTATAGGTTTTTGAAAAAAGAAAAACAAAAATTAGAATTTTGGAGATTTCTTATTTCTTCAATTCTTTGTATTTGATATTTCAATCAATTTTGTTCTATATTGATATTTCAATATCATAATAAAAATTACTAATATGAAATAATAGTTGAAATACTACATAAACTTAACCTCAATAAATTCTAAAACCATCAAATAATACTACAATCTTAAAACTGTCAAATAATTGATAATTTTCATTTGATTTGAATCATTCTCTCGGTATGGAGAAAATTCATCTTTGATATTTAAGTGGATATTGTTTCCACTTTATTTGGCCAACAATAAAGCATCAAGCAAGTGCATCATCCTTGTGAGTCATTGTTAGATCTGCATCATGTAGTCATGATCATAAGCATCCTCGAATTGTATTTAATAATTTTAACATCTCCACGTTATAGGAGCGAACCTGTCTCGGATAATGGTTGATGCAGAGTAGGACGCACAGAAGCGTAAGAATACGAAATCTGTTTGCCCCTTTCAACTCTAAGAGGTGGATGGGTGGTTGGTTGGATGTGGAGTCTATTAAAATAATTTTAGGGTTTTTTCCTTTGTACAGAAGTAGGGGTTCACAGAACCTGTACCGACTTGTCACATGAGGTAGGAAGTGTGAGTGTTCTGTGGGGGTTCTGTGAGAACCCTCATGTACATGCAGTTCAACCCATAATTTTACTGCTTTTGTTGCATTTAAGTTAAGCCAAACGTACTTTTAATCCTACTTCAATCTAGAATATATATACATTACACATACAAATTCTTGGAAATGCACTAATTTTCAGCTCGTTCTTCATTTTGTTATTTGAAGATAATATTCAAATGATTTATTAATTAATTTATATTTTTAGAAGAGGCTCAACGTCGTATCTAAATAGACAAATATCTTTAATTCAAGTCTCATCGTCACCCATTTAAATCAAAGTGTGTATGTCCAAGATTTTGATGGAATGTATCAAATCCTTTAATACCTGAAGTCAGACCAGTATTCATTTGAAACTCACTTTGATATTTCCTTACGAAATAAGAAGTCCATTATATTCAAGTCTCGGAACCCATGCTAGGTTGCTTAATACCTGTGTTTGATCTGCAACATGATTAAGACTGTGTCAATCTTGAAAATTACTCATCTTAAACAAGTGAATTCACATGGCTTCGAATCTTGCATTTTCTGGTTTCAAAAATCTAAATTGGGATTCCCTTTGGACACGGGCATCATAATGATAGTCACAACCCCCAACAATCTATTGCATTAATTTTTCCTATAAAGATTCACATGCAATGCTGATTTTAGGGTCGGAGAAAGTTTTGCACTAAGTTTGAGACTATAAAGTCATCGTTGCTTCCTTTTTCATCTTTTGCCATGTTTTTGTCTGTTTGATTTTATTATGCTTCACAAGATTGCACAAGTAACAGATGTGCAAAAAGTGAATTTGAGTCGATTCGAGGTTGACTTTTGTGACAAAGACACGGTGATTAACAATTCGAAATTAAAACACTAATCACATTACAAGCGTTTGTTTGAGAAAAAAATTCAAGTAAAAAAGAGATCGTATGATTAAAAGTAAGGATATACAATGAAACATAACATAGGGGAAAATCACTTTAAAAAAAAAAAAAGGAAAAAAAATTGATTCAAACATGGACTCAGTTACCATGCTATAAAGCAGAAGAAATCTCTAGTCTAATTTTCATCAAATTGGACCGCCATATACTGATATACATATAAAAATACATAACCTCCATTTTCTTCTCCATCCACTTTCTTCTTCTTCACCATTCATCCTTAGTCTACTAAGATTTATCATCTTCTTTTTCTTTTGTCAGCGACAGGCTCAAAGAATTCAGGTAATTACTTTAATTCCAATATTTTTTTCTAAGTATCTCATCACAGATAGGGTAATTTCTTGTTGAAAATCATGTAGTTCAACTGGGTGGAATAACTAACCCTGTATACAGTGAAAACAAGACTCATTTTATAATTGTTTAAAATCTATGTAAGTAAATATAAAAACAATCAATTTAACACAACTTCGAATACGGTTTCTGGTTTCCCTGTTTCACTATCTCTCATCGTTTTCTTTGCGTATTTTTCTTTAACATCTGTATTGTTGGAATACGAAGCTTTTCTTCTGAGCCAAAGGCTTCGTTAATTTTTATCAATGATTTGAAACAAGCCTGGTTTTGATCAGAAAAAAATGATAACCTGATCGAAAATTAATCCAGTTACAGCCTAGAAACTGTTCTTAAAAAATCAGAACGAAATTTTAAAAGAAAATATTTGTTAAGGACTTTGAATCATGCTATATTGTTATATTCTTGATGTCACATCAAAAAAAAAAGGACAATCCGAGGAGGGGGTATATTAATATAATTTTTATTTTTTTACATTGATAGAGACGAACTTGTTTCGATGTTCATTTTATTAGTTATTTTGTACCTCTCTAGTTCGATACATATTGACCAACTCTTTGCAAGTTTTAATACATTGATATTATGCTATGAGTTCTTTCTTGTAAGCCTATATGATTTGAAATAAAGGTAATTGAAGATGATGAATTTGTGATACTATAATAAGTTATGTTAATTCTCTGATTTTTTAATTCTTTTTAAAAAATTTTGGTTAAATCTTTCACATTGTGCATCTAATTTTTCATGTCTGATCACTTGGGATGGTTGGATTTTCAAAAGGACAGATTCTTCCGCTGATTTTATATGATAATTTGTTTCTTCCTTGAAACCATTGCCAGAGCAGTCGAGCCTACTAACCGAGTCACCAACCGGGCCTTGTTTTGCAGAATTTCTTCGTATAGAATGCCGTCAGCAATTCCCGATGCACCCGAAGATGACAAAGAACCATTCGTTGAGGTTGATCCAACGGGCAGGTTTGGACGTTACAGTGATCTACTTGGCAGTGGTGCTGTGAAGAAGGTTTATCGAGCATTTGATCAACATGAAGGCATAGATGTGGCATGGAACCAGGTTCGACTCAGGAATTTCAGCAGCGATCCGTCTGTTATCATTAGACTTCACTCAGAGATCGAGTTGCTAAAGACATTGAAGCACGATAACATCATTGTTCTATACCATTTCTGGAAAGATGTAGAGAAAAATACTTTGAATTTTATCACTGAGGCGTGTGCATCTAATTTGAGGGAGTACAGGAAGAAGCATCGCCATGTTTCCATCAAGGCAATCAAGAAATGGTCTAGACAAATTCTCAAAGGCTTAGACTATCTCCATACTCATGAACCCTGCATCATTCATAGAGATCTGAATTGCAGTAATGTTTTCATCAATGGGAATGTTGGAAAGGTATGTGCTAGCTAGTTAAATTCTTATAAATGGACTAACTCACTAATGTTGCTCGAAAATTAACATCATAAATATTGAGTCGGAGTTTGGTGTTCGATCGGGCACATCTGGTATCCCTGGCTGATGAGTCCTCGTTTTCTTTTCTGGGGTATGTTCTTGAAGCCCCTGGATGATTAAGTTGAAAAGAGAAGGGGAGTATGTATATTTGTATGTAAAGGTAGATGAATTACCAAACTTCTTTTTACTTGAGGATAAGCAAAAATCATGGGAACCAGGGGAACCGAATCGAACAATTTGGCTCGGTTCTAGCTAAAATATCTTTTACTCATTTTTCATTGGTTTGTTCTGCTTCTTGGTTTTATAGTCTAATTGGACACAAACCGGTCTAGCTGATAGCACTAAGTTTTACTCATAAGGCATTATAAGAGGCTTGGGACAATTTTTAGGGTATAGACTCTGTAGACTAATCTTCACATCATCTTGATTGAAGGAGATGTTTTTGGGCTTGATTTAGGTCATTTATTTGCATATTCTCCATTTTTCACTTCAGGGCCCATGGATAGTCTTTTCTTTTGATCTGATGTCTGAAATTCATTAGGATCGAATTGGTATATGTTTGGTATGATCACTAAGTAACTGTCACGTTGTTTTGATTTTCTTAAAACGACTTAAAATTAGCCATTTGTATCATTTACAACATTTGCAGGTCAAGATTGGAGATTTAGGGTTGGCAACAATAGTTGGAAAGAGCCATGCAGCACATTCATTATTAGGAACACCTGAGTATATGGCTCCAGAACTTTACGAGGAGAATTACACAGAATTAATAGACATATATTCATTTGGAATGTGTTTACTGGAAATGGACACATTGGAAATACCATATAGTGAATGTGACAGCCTTGGGAAGATATATAAGAAGGTTACAAGTGGAGTAATGCCTCAGGCCATGAAGAAAGTGAGTGACCCAGAATTGAAGGCTTTCATTGAAAGATGCGTTGGGCAGCCCAGAATGAGACCCTCAGCTGCTCAACTTCTTCAGGACTCATTTCTTTCCGATGGGATTGACTTAGATGAGAATGATGTTTAACCGCTCACGATCGGTCGACCCTCAACGAGACTGACTCGACAGACTGAAAATCTGAGTGTGTGTTTATGCCTTCTTCTTCGTCGTCTTCATATACGTACAAAACTTATATAAACTTGTAAGTCGAACTCTATGAATCAATTCCTTTCCAAAATCATCCTGATTACTAATATATGAACAAATGTTTAAGCAGAACTCTGGAAATTAGGGAGAGACAATTTTAAATTGTTTTGGGGGATTTTTAAGTTTGGCTTAGTCAAGCCCCCTAATTTCCAATTTGGATTTTCAACAATTGCATATTTTGACAATGGCCTTTCAGGTATTAAAATACAAAGATGCCCTTAAATATATTATACAATTACAAAATATTGTTTTATTTAAAAGACAATGCAACCCTTTTAGTTAACAAGTAAAAATTAAACACTCTCCACTTAAAATTTTAAAATCAGCTAACTTTTCTTATCTATTTATTCCAACACAAATAAAAACTCTAATTTTTCATCTGCTTTGACATCAAATCCCATAAATTTATCAAACGCTGAATAAGAAAATATTTTTTTTATATCCATCACTTCGAATCGGTAAGTATATTTATGTATATTTAATTTCGTATTCGTTAAATTAATATACTTTTTTATTCGATAAATCTTATTTCGTCATAGATTAATATGTAGATAAATTTTTTTAAACATAAGCAAGAAAAAAAACTCATCTGTATGTATATTCTTTCAGACGAGATTCATGACAATTACAAATGGGACCGAACCGACTACTAATAGCCGATCAAGACGATCGGATCGGCCGTTAACAGCCTAGCTGGCTACTGGTCGCTAATAGTCGGCCCAGGGGGCTGGGTCGGCTGTTAAGTTGACTTTCCGACTATTTTTTATTTTTTAATTAAAATTTCTATTGTCTAGTGGTTGGGCCAATTTTTCGCTATCTTTTTATAATTAAAAATTATGTTTCGTCATGCAGATATGGCTGTAATCCCGGTTTGTTTGGTGATTTCGAATTGGATTAAAAGATCGATGATAATGGAAATGGACGAGTGATATACATGAGGGTATTCCAATGTTCATAACATCATGTACATCATATGTGGAAATATACCATGATTTACAAAACAAGCTGAAAGTCGATCCCTTTCAATATGATATGGAACTAACACTTCTTTTCACCGAGCATTCATCTATTCCGATTCTACCTATGAAGGTTACTTCTAATGCTGAAATGAATTATCTATTTAAATTGAACAAAATGCACCGACTCCTTGATGAAAGTGAACACGAAAATTCCGATAGAGTGGATCATAATGTCAATTATTTATGGAACAACGTAGAGGTAAATCGTGAGGATGCTATGGTTATTCTCGAGACAATTGTTCATCATCGTGATCTAGCTGTTACGCACAGAATCTCTCAGTAGTTCACGACAACGAGAATAAAAATGAATTTACAAATGAGGTTTGGTTTCTTTATCCCATCAGAGACATAGGTAGGGTGGAGCTCAGGGGTTGGATTGAGTAGACCGTTCTCTAATTCTTTGCGTATATTTCTCGATGATGAGAATGTGCATGTCGAGCAAGTATTTTCCACGAAGAAAGATTTGTAGAAAGCTGTGCAATGGATTGTGTTGAAATACAATTTTGAGTTCAAAGTAAAGAAATCAAACGAGTCATTGTTGAAAATTATCTACGTTGATGAAGGTTGTAGTTGGCACTTGTGAGCGACAAAGATAGACACGATCAGTTATTTATAATTCGCAAGTATACACATAAACATACTTTGGAAGTGGGAATTTGTCGAAATGATCATAGGCAAGCTCGAGCGTGGTTTATTGGTCGACAGATAATGCACAAGTATCAAGATCCACAGTCGATCTAAGACCTTTGGAGATCATTAACGATGTCTATCGAGAATACAAGGTGGTCATGAGCTACCGAAGGTCGGAAGGTCAAAGAATGCACGTTAGAGGATTTAATGGGCTCGGTCGATGAAAGTTGAGCTAAATTGGTCAAGTATTTCCATAACATAAGGACAACTAATCCTGGCTCGACATGTTTTATTGAGACGGAGAACGAGAATTGTTTCAAGTTTTTTTTATGGCCATTGGACAATGCATTGGGGATTTCGAAATGCGATGCGACCTCTAATTATAGTCAATGATAAAACTTTGAAAACTAGAACGAATGCAAGTTGATTACTGCCACATGTCAAATGTAAACATCCAAATTTACCCTCTTGCATTGGACATAGTCGATAGCGAGAATAAATTGTCGATGCTTTGTTCTTCACAAAGCTGAGGGAAGTAATTGGGGATGTCGAAGACCTTGTCTTTTCAAATGATCGGGGATCATATATAATAATTGGTATCATTAAAGTTTTTTCCGAGGCACATCATAGGTATTGCATGTACCATATACAATGTAACCTGAAAACTAAGTATCGAGACAAAGATATCATTTCATTGTTTAGAAGAGCAGTAAAAGCTTACAATGTTGAAGAGTGTAATAAGTTTATGGTCGAAATAGAAAGTAAATCATTCCCGACATTGGATTATCTAACAAAAATGGGGATTGAACATTGGGTACATCACAATTTTCAGGATGTCGATATAATATGATGATGTCAAACAATGCAAAATCTCTCAATGCATTATTCAAGAAGGATTGAGAATTACAAATCCTCACAATTATTGAGAACATTTGTAACAAGCTACAGCAGCGGTTTCACAACCGAAGTGCGGAATCACAAAGTTGTACGAGCGTACTAGCCCCTATTCAGGAGGATAAAACTTCAAAACTGTAGAGGTTGCGAGAAAGTTAAATGTGGAACCACTGGATGAGTTGCGCTTTTACGTGAAATGTGCACATAATATCTCATATATGGTAGACTTGACTGATAATGCTGCACTTGTAGTCGATTTCAATTGTAGGTTTTTCTATGTAAGCAAGTAGTCACAATAGCTATGTATAGAGGCTTTACAGCAAGAACCTTATGCTTTCCTTATTACACGACTGATTATTGGAGAACAACGTATGCTGAGACTATATTTCATCCACCCAATGAAGTCGAGTGAGAAGTTCACAACCATATTCTCCCACTTAATAATTTTTTGTCCCCCGAAGTCGAACCGCGTAATCATGGACGTCCACATACGTCTAAAAAACCATCTTCCGAAGAATTTTCCAGAGCGTGTAGGTACGGTAGGTGCAGAGTAACGTGATATACCTGCCAAGTTTGTACAAATTAGATTCTCTTAGATAACAATTAGGTGGATGTGTAATCTATTGTTGTTAATCTTCGATCACAGTTTAAAGTTCCGAATCAATTATTAGAAAGTTTCAAATAGGTCACCAAACTTTATTTTTATACAATTAAGATAATATACAATGTACTACAGATCAAAATTAAATGAATAATATTTAATTTTTTTAAGAAACAATATACAACATACAATGACTTGAAATTAAATAATCAATATTTTTCGAATAAAACAATATACATGTACTACGAATCACAATTGAATTCACACAAATTGCACGCTAACTTCTTTCTCCAATTGTGCATACAAGATTGGTAGATTTCATCCACCTCATGTGCTATATTCAAAAATTAAATATACCTGATTGTGAACATTCCATGATAGTAACGACCTGGGTCTCTATACCCAAACTGTTAGCTTGCGTACTGTCCACTTTGGGTGGGCCTATGCCCACTTATCCCCTCGCAACTTTATATCGCATCCCTCAAGATTCGAACTCAAGATCTCTACTTAATGAAAGATTTAAGTTGAACATTGGTACCAATTAGGATGGCCCTATGCCCACTTACCCACTCATGACTTTTTATCGAGCCCCCCAGGATTTGAACTCAAGACCTCCGCCTATGTTGAGTTCAAATCCTGAGAGACGCGCTAGAAAGTCGTGATGAGGTAAGTGGGAATAGGTATATCCAAAGCGGACAGTACATATGATATAACTATTCGGGTATAGAGGTTGGGTTGTTACAACATTTACCCATGCAATTAAATAATAATGTGTTAGTTCGATAACGTATAGCTAAAAACTAAGTTTTCAAATTAAAAAAATTTATGAATACTTATGATTTCAACTATCTTGCTGTCGTCGTGCCCCCACGATGGCTAGTCTATCCTACACAATTACCCTCGCGTGTCCAGCTATTAAATGAATGATCACAACCACCAACTTCAGTTATGCTCGAGCTCACTCCGTATCACCACATGTTAGATATGTGTGATCGGATTCGTACACATATATAGTAGAATCAGCAAAGATGATCTCCACGGCAAACAGTGATGATGCGCAATCACTGGAATATACATATTCGTACAACCCGCCCATTGCTTTCCACCGAAACTGACCACATCCCTATGACCCACTCGAGAATTTATATTCAGGCACCATGTACTTCTTTCCCAAAATTTGGAGTGATTGATGCTCAATGTTAATGGCTTGTGGGAACTTGGTGCACAATATAATTCGGTCAGGAATGTCAAATGATTTCGAATATCTTCGAGCTCGAGCACACAACAAGTTCATAGCCAGGTTGATGTGCTACAGTAGAAACACCAATAAAAAAGAGAGTTATTTAATTGAATAAACAACAAATTATGTATACATAATAAATAATAATTGCGATATTACACTTACATCGTCGGTGACCTAAGCTGCCGAAGTCTTGATGTCCTGAAACCACTTATATGCGTATGGTATCGTCCTTTAAGCTATCATGTAGCGAGCTATGAAAAACAAAAAGAAAAACGTTACAAAAAATATAGATGAGTTAGCGTACTTTACTAAAATCAAAAATTACTTACCCAGGTATAATTATTCTACACTTTGTTTTGAACGCTTTTCACTTGGCGGAGTTGACATTTTGAAATAGATTGGGGGTATGTTCCGTGATTAGCATGCTTAGCACACTTATTTAATAATTAAATGTACTTATTATTGATGAAAAGAGTGGATATCGACTCACAAT